CCACCCCTTACATCTACACTGAGAGGTCAAGAAAACAACAAAAGATATCAGTATACACACACACAGAACACCTAGATTTAAAAGAGATGACTAAAATCGAACAGGCTATGAAATTACCAGAAAAAGAATTAAGGGGGAAAAATCTTTACTCTTTTAGACTTTCAGTATACTTCTTTGTCATAGTTATGTCAAAAAGCAGTGCAATGTATTTGTATTTCAGCTTGTATATTCAAGTATTGAGACTCCTGTGAAACTTGAGGAACCATATCTAGAGTCGTCCACTTTCATTCAAAATAATCCATTGTAGTTTTGAAAAATACCCTCAGCTTACATTCATATCCTTTGTGTTTTTGTTGAGTTGTTACCCTAGACCCCTAACTGCTTGACCTGTTCCTCCTAAACTGTCTTTGGAAAAGAGAAGAGTGAGCGCAGAGGTTTCAGTGAGGACTCCCTGCTCAGACTCACTCTCTTTGGACCAAATAGATCACCAATGAGGGTTACTTAGTCTAGTAGATTAACATCATTTGGAACATTAGAAGGAAACTTTTCTCATTTATTGCTATGTAAAGACTCTTACACCTCACAAAAGACATTGATCTAGCAATTCTACTTCTGGGAATAATAACAGTAGCAAATGTTTCTTCAGTACTTACTATATGCTAGACACTGTCATTTCCTTAACATATTTCATGTAACTTGGTGAAAATTTAAGTAAGATAATTGCTATTATTTAACAAATGCATAAAGAAACTAGCATAGGGTCATATATAGTAAGTGACAGAGAGAGGACTTAAACCTCAACTGCTTGGACTCCAGAGTTCGTCTCTGTTACTCCCATCCTATATCTTTGGGAAATAACTCTGAGCTACAGAGACAGCACTAGGTATAAAGAAGCTCTGTCTGTGTAGTTGTTGTAACAGTGACAACTTGAAGCCCTGTCAATGCACAGTCGTGAGGTAAATGAAGACAATCCAGATTATAGAATATTATGTAAGCATTTGATAGTTTTACAATGAGATTTTAGTGATTGGGAAAATTTATGTTACAAATAGAAAAGATATACATTCAGATCTCAGTGATGTAAAAATATGTCTGTATATGGAAAGATTTACCTGCTATATAAAAAGAATCAAGTTAAGAATAAAATGAGGGAGCTTCAAAAAGTTTGTGGGGAATTTCATCCACATTGAATTTCATTTTTCAAAGAACTTGTTGAAGCCAGCCCCTTTTTATATATATAGCATGAGCCCATATATGTGAACAGTACTTGAAATTATAAGTAGTCAATAAATGTTAGTTTTTATTATAATTACAATGACTATACACTACTTTTTTCTTTAAATTTTA